TATCCCCTGTGTGCCTTGTCGACTCAGTACATGAGTTTCGCGAGTTCGATGTCGAGACTCGGAATCGTCTGTAGACGACTTAGGTACCTGGCGGGGGTGTTGTACTCGGTAGAGCAGTTACCACGCTGCGATCTGTTGAGACTCAGCCCTCGGCTTGGGGATTCGTCTTGTCGGTTAGACGAGACCCCACGCGCGCGCGCCAGCCCCGTCGGCGAAAGCAACACGCGGCGAGGGACTTAGCCGCGCGCCAGCCCCGTCGGCGAAAGCAACACGCGTCGAGGGACTTAGCCGCGGAGCGCGCGCCAGCCCCGTGGGGCGAAAGCAACACGCCGCGAGGAACTTAGCCGCGGAGCGCGCGACAGCCCCGTGGGGCGAAAGCAACACGCCGCGAGGAACTTGGCCGCCGACCGCTCGTCAGCCCCGCCGGCGGTAGGCCTGACGTAGCGCTAGCCTGATCAAGCGCTAGCCTGACCGAGCGCTAACCTGACCGAGCGCTAGCCTGACGTGTCAGGAGAGGTACTTGGCCACGGAGCGCTTGTCGGCCTCGTCGGCGAAAGCAACACGCCGCGCGAAAGCAACACGCCGCGAGGAACTTAGAAAATTTTCGGGTCGAGTCCGGAGGTAAATCTGGCGCATCGACGCTTCCCCGCTAATGCCCTTAATATTACGTCGATTCGCGTGCTCGCACGTTTATTCGGCCACACGAGTGCCCCCGTGCACTCGTGTCGTGCGTTCGCCTCGATAGCGGAGAATTTTCGGCGCCGGAGGTACACCTGGCGAAAGCAACACGCCGCGGCGGTACCTCGCTTCCAGCGGCTAAGTTCCGCGCGCCTCGGTCTATCGACGACCGCGCCCATAAGCGGCCGTGCATAAGACCGTGCGTCGCCGACCGCTTGTCCGGTCGGTTGGGTACTATAAGAGGTGCGGTGCGCTCGGCTAGCCGAGCGGTACGTTGCGGTTGTGCGTACACGTTACTCGTGTCTCGTACGGCCCGTACGGCTTTTCGAACGTCTATGAAACACGGACCGTGATCGTTGCGATGCACGTCGGTCGTTCTTCTCGCTATTGACGGAGAAGTCGTCGACTCTCGCACGGAGGGTGAGTTACATTGTTCGACGTCTTTGGCGACTCGTTCGACGAAACGTCCGGTGTTCGCTCGCGCTTGCCGAAGCGTGCCGTCCGAAATACACGATATATTATTATATACGAACACAGCATTGCCACGAGTCGGTGTCGCGAGACCGAATGGCTCTTATGTGGCGCGCACATAGTGTTGGTCGCGCGATCTTCCCTCGTTCTCAGACGAACGTGATCGGATGAATCGTGGCGCTTACTGAACATCAACTCCACGGATACGAGTGCGACGGAAGTGCGAGATCCCTGGCGATTTCTCTTCCCGCTTACTTGTACGCCTTAGCGAAATTTTTCGGCCGCTCGCGGGCGCATCGTGCTTCGCACGTTGGCTCTGTGAGACCGGTCTGAGTACGCACGTTCCTCGACGTCTGAGTATCGCATCGTCGATATAGCGTCAGGGCTGAGCAGCTACGCGCCGCTATCATGGGTGAATGAGAACAGAAATATACATGATCTTTTTAACAAAACCCGACGTTGTTGTGTGTACTCCTCGGAGTATATATTTACACACGTTCGGTGAACATGGGTTACGTATGTAACGATGAAGAAGCAGAGTGTCGCCGACCGGTTCGCGAGACCGGCGGCAAGTACCGACACACGCACACGGCTCTCTGTGCTGCGCTCGCTGGCTCCGCTCGCTCGCTCGTTCGCTCCGGCGAACGGCGAGAGCGGTAGCTCGAGAAACGCACACACGAAGCTCCCTGGTTGATCCTGCCAGTAGTCATATGCTTGTCTCAAAGATTAAGCCATGCATGTCTCAGTGCATGCCGAATTTAAGGTGAAACCGCGAATGGCTCATTAAATCAGTTATGGTTCATTAGATTGTACCCACATTTACTTGGATAACTGTGGTAATTCTAGAGCTAATACATGCAAAACAGAGTCCCGACCAGTGATGGAAGGGACGCTTTTATTAGATCAAAACCAATCGGTGGCGGGCGGTCTCCGTCCGTCCACCGTTTATTTTGGTGACTCTGAATAACTTTGTGCTGATCGCACGGTCCTAGCACCGGCGACGCATCTTTCAAATGTCTGCCTTATCAACTGTCGATGGTAGGTTCTGCGCCTACCATGGTTGTAACGGGTAACGGGGAATCAGGGTTCGATTCCGGAGAGGGAGCCTGAGAAACGGCTACCACATCCAAGGAAGGCAGCAGGCGCGCAAATTACCCACTCCCGGCACGGGGAGGTAGTGACGAAAAATAACGATACGGGACTCATCCGAGGCCCCGTAATCGGAATGAGTACACTTTAAATCCTTTAACGAGGATCCATTGGAGGGCAAGTCTGGTGCCAGCAGCCGCGGTAATTCCAGCTCCAATAGCGTATATTAAAGTTGTTGCGGTTAAAAAGCTCGTAGTTGAATCTGTGTCGCACACCGTCGGTTCACCGCTCGCGGTGTTTAACTGGCGTGATGTGGGACGTCCTACCGGTGGGCTTAGCCTCGCGAGGGGCGGCCCAACTAATATCCCGTCGCGGTGCTCTTTACTGAGTGTCGAGTCGGGCCGGTACGTTTACTTTGAACAAATTAGAGTGCTTAAAGCAGGCTATCCTCGCCTGAATACTGCGTGCATGGAATAATGGAATAGGACCTCGGTTCTATTTTGTTGGTTTTCGGAACCCCGAGGTAATGATTAATAGGGACAGATGGGGGCATTCGTATTGCGACGTTAGAGGTGAAATTCTTGGATCGTCGCAAGACGGACAGAAGCGAAAGCATTTGCCAAAAATGTTTTCATTAATCAAGAACGAAAGTTAGAGGTTCGAAGGCGATCAGATACCGCCCTAGTTCTAACCATAAACGATGCCAGCTAGCGATCCGCCGAAGTTCCTCCGATGACTCGGCGGGCAACTGAGTCGACAAGGCACACACTCCAGTCACTT